TGTGCATAAAGGTTAGTGTGGGGGTGACATCATCATCATAGGACATGTCCAGCCATCAAGTGACCAAAGAGTCCAAACCCAGAAGAAAGACTGGGAGAAGATGGAAGCCACCCGTTACCTTCTCCATCAGTTCCCGTATCCAGGAGTCTTCTTATAAATTTCTCACTCGATGTATAAAACCCCGTCCAGTTTAGTTTTTAGATCTTCCCTACTGTCAATGCTCATTGCTGAGGAGGCTGCGACCAGCGTGGTAAGTTTCTTCACCTTTGGTGGACCTGCCCCAAATGTGTGGCCTTTTGGGATGCAACCACTCCTTGCATCCAGAAACTGACGTTAAGCTATAAAGAGAGATCTCCCCCTCTGCCTCCTCTTTCACGTGACCTCATCTTCTATGAAGTTGTATAAGAAAAGCATCACTTCCCATCTACTGAATGTAGCTAAATCCTTAATCCCTAGGTTTTGGAAGCAATCTACTTGCCCAACAATTTCTGACTGGAAGAGGGAAGTAGATGCAATTATGGAAGCTGAGCAATGGGTGCACATGGTTATAAATCAAAGGGAGAAATTTAAAGCCATATGGCAGGGATGGATGTACTGATTACTTTTCTGTGATTTGATACATAGTATACCCCATGTTGTTGTCTATAAATTGTTTATTGTGTTTTTAGGCAGGGGGTTTGCTTTACTCTGCCTTATTTCTCGTATTCTCTACCCTTTCTTTTCTCTTTTTTTTGTTGTAATGGAGTTCCTGGGTAACATTGGTCCCCAGCTTATGTAAGGTCTACGGTCAAAAAGGTGACTCCTGGTTTATATCTGATGCCTTATCTTTTTGTCTGTTTGCCTGGCCAATGCGACCATGTTTGATGATGACAATTTTGTATGATCTGAAAATGTTAATAAAAGATTGATTAGAAGGTGAAAGCTCCTGTGACAGCCGAAAGCGTTGGATCATTTGGTAGGTTACTCTGCCATAATGTGCTAATATGCTGTAAATTATAGCATAAAGCTCCCAATGGCCATTTTTAATTTTTTTTTTTTTTTAAAGAAAAGGTTTAATTTATGCTTTAAACCTGGTCTTTGTTTTATTCTTTTAGTATTCATGCACATGGCTGCAAGAGGGTCGTGCAGGTGCTCAGAGTAGTAGCAGACAAACTCTGCCCAGAGTCGTACATCCGTACACATGTGCGTGTTTACTCAACTAGAGGCATATAGCTGCACTCAGCCACTGATTGCTATGGGTGGCTGTGGGCAGCATCTGTAAATCCCAGGCAGGGAAATACACCCGAATGTACAGCTCTACATCCTGCTTGTGGCCGTGTGCATTTAGCCATATATGCATACACAGAAAAAGAGATGAACAACGTATCACTTAAAATAAGCACTACTCTTTCTGGAAGAAAAAACATTTTATTTATCTTTTTTCCCAAAGAAATCAAAGCAATATAAATATTATTGTATAAAACTTGCGTGTAAGACATTGACATGAGTCTATTTACGGGTATAAGAAGGGTGAAAGCATATTCATAATAGTAAAGTACAGTTCAGTTAGACACAATGAAAAGACAGGTGCATAAACTGGATGAACATTTATATCACTAACACACAGAAAGATACAGAAGGAGCAATTAAAATACTGCAACCCACAAGTCGGATACAGGGATGAAAGGATCACATTAGAACTATTTTGTACATACCAGCTAATCTAGAATGAAAGTTGTAATAAAAGGTAAATCATAACAGCAAAGGAATAAAAAAGTCACCTACTGCTCGTTTATTGGTATGACTGTATTGTATTACAAGCTGTATATATGGTTAGTATGTTGTCACCTATATGGAAGGTGAAGAGTTGCTTCTAGTGCCCCAAGCTGAGGGTCACATGACAGACATTGGCATAGAAGGTTATTGTATATAATGCTTTTATATAACATTACTGTAAGCAGTGCAATAGCATTGTCAAGCAGCAAGCTGAAAGACGTAAGGCTTTACTGCTCAAGGCATCGGAAAATTATATGCCCAAAAAAAGAAAGGTTGTGTAAGCAATAGAGTGCATACAAATGATAGTTAGACATTTGTGAAAGCTTTTTTTTTTTTTTAAATCTTTTTGCATCAGTGTACAAAGAGAGAACCTGGTCTGTAGGTAATATGATATAAAATACAAAGTGGTCATTAAAACAATCTAAAGGTTTGTCACTGACTCTTAGCAGCTACCATACGTTACATGTAAAAATAAATAAAAAAATACTTAGAAATAAAAATTCAAAATGGGAAAATGAGTAGATTTTGCTATATATATTTGTGCAGCCAGTGTTAAAATATCCACACTCTTGCATTAAAACATTATTCAGCATTTTCTCTGTACATAAACTATACTGCGAGCTGACTGGCCTTCTATTTTCACAGCATTTATTTATTTTTTTAATGTCAGTTTGGGATACACTGGTAAAAGAAAACAAATTTCAAATGTGATAAATAAAATTGCTAAACAAGCCATATTGTAAGGAAATATTGGTAAAAATTACCTTTAAATTTTATCATGCATGCTGCTGTGATTTTAACTGCCAGAAAGTTTAAATGTATCCACCTTGCAACTATAGCAACAGTACACAGTCCATAGACAGGATACCCCACAACTCTCATTCACCTGCTCCTCAACTGGCTTACTGCTTTACCAAAGGACTGCACATAGCACAGAGCACAGATATCTAAAGTGGTTTACCCAGAAATGTCTTTAGGTTTTCTGCACTGGGATTTCTGGTTGGTGCAATATTTGCAAGATGAGATGTACTTCTACAGAGATTCCTAGAGAAAGGAGGGATGTTGAATATTTCTTATTACAGCAATTCAACTAAATGTGTGACTATAGTAGCAGACCGTTCCACTTATGTCACATTTAGCATTACTGTTGAGGTCTATCTCAAGATCTACAGAACTAAAAAGAGATGTGGACCTACATAAAAGTTTGCAATGCATATAAAATGACTTTAAAATTGCATATTATCAAATAAACAAGTAAAATTACAAATCCAAGGTGCTCCCATATGTATGCTGTTTTCAGTAAGATAATTAGTAAAAGAACTTTTTTTTATATGGTTATTGGTAGCCCTGTTTTTCCAAAATGGATCTGATTCATCAAGCTACAGTAGCACTTAAGGAGCTCTAAGGCTAAGTTTACACTAGATTCAAGAGCAGGTGTTTCATGAGTGTTTTTGAAACTCCATGAACACCTGTCAAAACTGCGTGCGCTGCAGCGCCCAGTGTTGTTCACATGGCTGTTTTAGTGGCGCTTTGCGTCGCGGCAAAATAGACCCAATATGTGTCGTTTGCCAGGCTTTGCCACTATCCAAACGCTTCCATTGAGATTAATGTAAATGCACAGCAAATGCACTGGAAACGCATCACAAATGTCCCTATGGCATTTACAGAGCATTTGAGATGTGCTTAGAAAGCGTTATTAGCCAAGATGATAATACAAAAATTCATACAATAAAAATAAACACTGAGGAGGCATCTGGCAAGAGTTTTTTAACACGCTGCAAACACAAAAAATGCACCAAAAACCACAAAGTCAATGCATCTTAATGCATTAAAAGCGTTAATGGGCATTTTAATTTCTTTGCAGAGGCCTAAAGTGTGCTAAAGGTGTGCTAACGTTTACTCTTAGCACTGTTTAGCATGCCTTAGGTACCAATAATGCTTGATTAACCAGGATCATAACACTAAAAAAACAATGGTCTGGCTTGTATTAGGCTTCATGTACACGAGCCTACCCTGACAGCTGGCCGCAGGAAAATGCAAATCACGGCAAAAATGTGGTACTGCGGTTGGCAAGGTTTTGTCACGTTTTGCGTTTTCTCATGGCCGGTGGTCAAAACGTTCCTATCCTGAACGCGATTCTTCCATGTTCAGGAGATGGAGGTTTAACCTCACGTAAACGTGGCAGCTCCTAAACTCTGGTAAAAGCCTATGTGTACATGGACACATAAGCTTTTATGGAGTTGAGTTTAGGAGCTTTGGCAAAAAAATGCCAAAAGCTCCTAAACTCGAGTTTAGAAGCTGCTCATGTACATGAAGCCTTAAACAGGTTTACCTTCTATCATTCTTTATAAAGAATCCAAAGACTCCATGCTGGATACTTACATGCAAAACAAAAATTTATTGTAGAAAAGCAAACTGGGCTCACATGCTGATACATTGACCGTTTAACTCCGCTTCAAGAGATCAAACAAGCCCATCAGCAACTAACCTTCTGAGCAGTAGTTTTCCCATATGAGAAGAGGCTTTACCTATCGAAAAAATGACTACTTTTCATATATATTTATATAAAAAAAGATGACTTTCTGATGAAAAGGCCGCTAGCAATTCGAGTATATTAATTTCCCTGGCTTCCTCTTGTTTGTCACAAACATTCCTTACTTCTTAGAAATTTGTATTGTTTTGGCGCTCTCTATATGACAGACAGATCTAAAGATACATGTTTCTACAAAAAAAAAAAAAAATCACCCTATCATCTAGAACCAAATACTAACTTACATATGCATTTTTTTTTAAAATTCATCAAATGTAAAAGAAAACGGTAAAAATGCAATTTGGGTTAACAAAGCTTTGAGAACTTCTGTGATAATGATAAATTATAAATGCCTATTTAGTGATACATATATACATTGGAAGAAGTTCCGCAAGTATGTGGAACGCTACCAGCAAAAGATGAATCCTAATAGTATGTAAAGAGTACATCATTGGCTAGGAAAGGACTTTTTCAGAACATAGTAACCTTGCCATTAGAACATATTGGCTCATATTGACAGAACACACAATTCCAGTGTCCAAACTAGTATTCTCTATTACAAACTCCAATAGTAGGAAGGACACATGGGCTCTGATAATGACTGATACAACCAGTTCCAAACATTCTCTCTCCTGTTGTGAATAAGACATTCTTTCTGGGATTTCGGCTAGAGGGAAGATCTCACAAAATTCTGCCTTGTTGGTATAACACATCTTTATTTCTTTTCCTTTTTTCCAGATTTCTTTTTGTTCCCTGAAGGTGCTTTGTTGTCACGTTTCCCCGCAGCGTTAGTAAGGGTTGATGTTGTTCCTGGAATGTAGATGTTTTGTCTGTAGTCAGGGACGTGCTGTAGAGTGAACTGTGGTCCATAGCGAGCACTGAGTCCCATTGTACCTGTTGATCCTCCGATACCAGAACTTCCTTCAGCTGCTTCTGTCGGAAATGAAGAAAAGATTTGTTATCTAAAAAAGGATTTATACATTTACAACATTTGAACTCTTAATGAATTAGAATCAAATCCACCATCACAAGTGCAGCTTTGTCAGTTTATATCAAGCCAGTCTCGTGACCACTTCAGCTAATCCAGAAACATCTTCAATTTTAGTTTCTCATGGCAATAGGGAATAGACATCATAGCCTATAGAATGTGGAATTTATCTAGTCCCTGGGGCCTTGTGTAGTAAGTATTTATCCAATCCCTTGTGAACTTGTGTAGTAAGTACAGTATTTATTCAGTTTCAGAGGGCCTTGTGTAGTGGATATTTATCTAATCCCTAGTGGTCTTGTGTAGTAAGCATTTATCCTGTCCTTGGTAGCCTTGTGTCCTAAGTATTGATTCAGTCCCTGGTAGCCTTGTCTCGGAAGTATTTATCCAGTTCCTGCTAGGTCAGTGTAGTAAGTATTTATTCAGTCCCTAGTGACCATGTGTAGTAAGTATTTATCCAGTTCTTGCTGGCCTAGTATAGTAAGTGTTTATCATGCTCCTGGTGGCATTGTGTGGTATGTATTTATCCAGCTCCTAATGGCCTTATGTCATAGTTATGTATCCAGTTCCTGCTGACCTTCTGTAGTAAGTATTTATCCAGTCCTTAGTGGTCTTGTATTGTAAGTATTTATCCGGTTCTTGCTGCCTTGTGTAGTAAGTATTTATCCAGTCCTTAGTGACATTGTGTAATGAGTGTTTAGCCAGTCACGGGTGGCCTTGTATATTAAGCATTTAGCCAGTCTTGTGTGGCTTTGTGTAGTAAGTATTTACTCAGCCCCTAATGGTCTTGTGTAGCAAGAATTTATCAAGCTCATGCTGGCCTTGTGTTCTAAGTGTTTACCCAGTTTCTCTTAGCCTTGAGTAGTATGTAGTGAATGGTAGACCTGTGCTCGGTGTCCTACAATGATCAATATTTCAGGAGAATGCTGCTACCCCAAATATCTGACTACAAGATATCAAATGAAGACTATGCAAGAAAGGGGGGGGGGGTGTTCTTTTAAATCATACAATAAAGTGTCTCAAAGCAAACAATCATAAATTACAAATAAACAAGATTTCATAGTAGAAAATGCTTAAGCCCTTGGCGACGGCGCCTCCCAGCCCTTTAAGGGTTTCAGAAGCAGGGAGGCAGGGTGAGGTTTAGGGTCATGTGACCGCCGTGACACGCCGTCACATGATCGGGAAAGGTCCGGATCGAAAGAGGAGATTGGGACCTTTCCGTGAGTACCGGACATGTGTGCTGGGAGCGCGCAAGGAGCGCTCTCTGCACATATGTTTTTTTTAATAGAACGCAAATGTGCGGTCGGTCGGCGTCTAGGCCCAGATGCCGGGAGGCGGCACATTTGTGTTCGGCCGGCGTGAAGAGGTTAAGTGCATTAAAATAATTAATATATCCTTAACAAAGCACTTTGTTGCGTAGCAAATATTTTGCCAATCTCTAGTGGTCTTGTGTAGTAAGAATGTATCCAGTCTCTCATGGCCTTGTGTAGTAAGTATTTATCCAGTCTCTCATGGCCTTGTGTAGTAAATATTTAACCAATCCTAGGTAGCCTAGTAAAGTAGGTATTTGGCTGTCCCTGATAGCATAGTGTAGTAAGTATCTATCCAGTCCCTGGTCCCCTAGTATAGAACGTTAATAGCCAATACGTGTTAGCCTAGTGTAGTAAGTATCTAGCAATATTTGGTAGTTTAATGTAGTTGAAATTAATCCCAGATGCCTGTGCTGTGCAACATTTTTAATAACTTCTTTATCGCTACAAACTTCTTAAAACTGACATTATATTTACAACAGGATCTCTGTATGTAAAGGACAGCAAGGCTATATACATCCTCAGGTATAAATTTTAATTATGACTGCAGTATACCTAAAAATCCTAATAAAGTCAAAGAAATGACTATACAGTCTGACAGACATTGTACTAACAAGCTGTTGTGTAGGGTGGCTGAATTGGCATCAGTTTTAGACCTAGTGCACTGTGTAGTCAGCTCTCAACAGGGGCGGACTGACAGCTCATGGGGCGCCCGGGCAATAAGGGATCATGGTGTCCCTGTGTCCTTGCCCAAACTCAAAAAAGCCTATGAAAAAGGTACCAGGGGCATCTCATGGGGCCCCCTACTGACCCCGGGCCCTCGGGCAGTGCCCGAGTTTCCAAATGGTCAGTCCGCCCCTGGCTCTCAGTAACACACCTGATTTGACATACCCCCTCCCCTTCAATGCAATACAAGTCTATGTGAGAACACATGTACTGAGGGGTGTGGTTGGCACTCTGCGGGCATGGAGAGAACTGATTGAAGCAGCATTTTTACTTAGAATGTAAGGTTAAATATTAACATTTAGTGTACGGAACTATAAGCAGATAAAAGGTGTGAGCCTTCAACTGGGCTTTAAACTCACTTATGCTAGTAATTGAAGATACAGTAATTACTGAAACAATTTATAGGACACCCGAGCTTGACGAAACACATCGGTTACCCTTTCTTCTGAAAATGCCAGGTGCCTGGCTGTCAAGTTGATATAATCACTATATATAATACTTTTGATATAATACTTTTCTCAGTCACAGACTTAGAACAGAATGCGGGTCAGGACTCTAGTTTTTCTGCATGCTTGTTCCTGGCTATGGACTCTAAAGGTATTGAATTTAGAGGAACAGCATGACAGACAGGCAATATGCATTTTCAGAAGGATGTCAGCTTTCAGTTCTCTCTCTATACAGGTTTTTTTTTTGTTAAGTGTACATCACTACAGTACATCACATCTTCAAGGTCAATAACAATTAATCTTTATAGGATAGCATTACAAAGCCTATGCAATGCCTTTAAAATTACCAACCATTTATTTTTAAAGCTGAACATAATACCCCGGAAACCAGCTAACAACCTGGAACACAGCACAGTTATATCACTTTATATGATGCAATCTACCACTTAGAGGGGATCATTTACTGAGGTGTCAGCAATAATAGATGCACATAATTTATCACATTACATGGAATTCCACCCACAGGTTATAATACAGTATTTGCGCAGAGGCTCAAACACATTAACTCCACTTAGCAAGCTGAGAGCACATTGCATAACCACTCTTCACTCTGTATATGTCTGTACAGACTTAGATATACAAACATGCAATTTGAAGATGTAAAGCAAAATTAAAGTGTTACTAACCCCAGGACCCTGCATTTACTAAATCTGGTCTCCCACAGTATACATAAATGCAATTATTTTAGTAAACATAAACTGCTAAATACCTTTTCTCATCAGCATTATATAGCAATCTTGTGACTTCTATCAGTGTCCAGCAGAGCACTGGTTAAATTTTGTGGGAGGATGTTTCTTTCTGCTCTAGGAGGAAGTAGAACCCCTGACCTCTGTCTGGACAGTGCTGATTGGCCCTGTGCTGATCACATGCACTCTTCCAAGAAAAAAAAACCCTCTATAGTAATGCACACCCAACTAATCATGTGCAGAATTTCTCCACGCAATATGTCTTATAAGGGGATAAGTGGGGGACACTGGAAGAAGGGGGGGGGGGTCAGAGAAGTCAGGATCAAGTAGCATTACACAGTGCAGAAGATAAACCCCTTAGGTTCCACAGTCAGTATAACAAGCATGTTTTAATGCATATACAGACTGGTTTTACTGTTGTGGGTTTAGTAACACTTTAACTTCTACATATTCATTATTCTTTGGAAACCTGTAAACATCTACAGCAGTTTCATTATAACAAATGCAACTGCTGAATTTTTAAGGGGATTTCCAGGTAAAAGGAAATTCCCTATTTGTAAATTCCCTCTTTGTACTGGATAGTACCAAACAATTTACTAGAGACAATGAAAATGATCTGATATTAAAGCCTAAACGCAGGTAAAATGAGTCTCTTGTGCTGGAGTCAACTGTTAAAGTTAAAATCCTCTGTCTTCTGTCCCTCCTCCCATAGCATGAGCTGTAATCTGCTGGTGCTCTGGGGGTTATCACCAAGGAACCTGTCACGGGGACATTCTTTGGAGCCTGCCCTTTCTGCCCCCCTCCTCCAGCTTTAAAACTGTACTATAGCTTCCATGAATGACAAATATTCTATGAATGGAGGATGGGCGGATGAATGAATGGTGTGCCTCCAACATTCATAGAGTGCTTTTCATCTATGGAAGCTATCATTTGTGAATGGAGGAGGGGAGTGGAAAGGATAGGCTTGGATGAGTGCCTGTAACAAGTCCCTCGGCATTTGAAGATTATGGTTTCAGGGTATGAGAGTTGAAACAGTGGACAGAGAATTTCAAATATGACGACTGACATCAGAAACACTTCAGATTAAATGTACTGTTTCTTTGTGCTGATTTTTTTTTAAAATCAAACGTTTTACCTAAACTTAGACTTCAAGTACATGTCAAGCCAAAACTTTTTTTGTTAGTTTTGGATGATGTCAGAAAAGATTAGAACCCCTGTAAATTTTTTTACTGCTGTCCAGGGCATCAATGAAGAGATATTTTCTTATTTCCTATCCTGCTGACATTTTATGAGACAGGAAGTAAGGGGAACTCCAAAAGCAACATGGATGGAAATAAAAATGCTTTTCTTTAGCAAGGCCTAGTTCACACCTTGGCGTTTTTTTTTAGTGCTTTTTTCAGAAACTCATTACAGTCCATTTAACATGGTTTACTATGGGACACGTTCGCATCTACGCATTTTCAGCCGTTGGAGAAGGTTAGGGACTTTTTTTTCCCCCCATCAGATTACAACACGCATAGGTGTGAACCAGGCCTAAAGTAGGAGAAAGCTAGAATTTAGACAGTAGTGAAAACCAGACAGTGGTTATAATACTTCCCCATTTTATCTAAAACAATAAGAATGGTTTTTGGCTTTGCCTACACTTCAATATATTACACAGGTGCTGTGATTGCCTAACTGCATTTATGGCATTGACTAATATTGACTGCCCTTTCCACCCACCCCCTCTCCATTCACAGAAGCTATACTACAGCTTCCAATAATGCGAAACGCTCTATGAATGAAGGATGGGCGGAGGAATGAAAGGTCTGCATGCTCTATTCATAGAGCACTTCATTGTTGATGGATGCTATTGCATTAACTCCCGCAGCACTGATAGATTACCACTGTGGGGGTATGTAGGAGGGGTGAAGGGCTGAAGATTTGAACTAGGACAGCATTCACCAGCAAAATGGAACCTTCTGCTGTTTAGCAAGCACTTGCTGAATTTCGATCCATGTATGGTCAGGGAGGTTGTACAAAAGTGATCTACTGATTGACTTCTGTACAACCACCATGTCATTTTTTTTTTATAGCCAGTAGCACTGATCAGTGTATCCTGACGCTGTCATAATGCAATAACATAGCGGGAAGGATTCTCCCTTCCACCTCGAATGCAGATGGAGCAATAGAGTCATTTTGTTTCTTCATTCAACCCCTTGGTTGAATCAAAAAAAAAAGTCTAATGTATGGGCTGCATAAGGCTTTAAAACATGCTATCATAAAATGTTTGTAACAGAAAACCAATCATTAGATGGCATATCTAGACTTGAAGTCTCCGTCTGAAAATGCTGATTGCCTGGCTCTCATGTCACTGTGTGCACCTGATGAGGTCCTTCATATTACTACACTCCCACATTGCACTATGTTCTGTGAATGGCAGAGAAGCAATTGAATGACAGGGTCTCCACCACCCATTGAAAGAATGCAATACATTGTGGGAGAATAGTATAGAGATTTCTATGAATGGAAAAGAGGGCAAAAGGGGGTGAGTGAGCGGCACAACTATTCTCTGCAACTGTGACAGCTGTTAACCCATACAGTACCAGAAGATAGTAATTCAGGGCAATATCTGGCGGCTCTGAAGTTGGCACTGAAGGAAGATTTTTTAGTAGAGGTAATGAGATACACTATTGTGCATGATGCTAAACTTCAGCTTTAAAAAAGACTTAATTCTCTACTTTTTCCAACCACAAAAAAAATTGGCATTATTGCTGTCAAATAATGGATGTCTGACAGTGAAACGAGAAGCCAACTTTTCCTTCTTGACAGCTATACAATAGTAGAGGGAGCACAATACCACGGATGCTTTAAATTCAGTAACTGTTCTCTGTTTTCTAACTGGAACAAAATCAGCAGGATCAAAGGGTTCTTGTGTTTTCTGTCATGGAAACTGACCATTTGCCGATGCCAGGATCATTGCTTGGAGTCTCTCAGTTTCAAACTGGTTATTTGGCCACACTCCAGGTTCTTCTGTGGGCTGCTGTGTGTTCTACAGAGAGATGACAAGACATTTTTTCCAATAAGAAACACGCCAAGTGTGAGAAGGTAAGCAGCTGCTTATTGGCCCTGCATGGGACCCTGAAACACGATGCCACAATTTGTCTGAGACTGTGTGTGTGTGTCTGTGGGTGTTAGTGGTTTACAAAAAAAACTCTTTTCTTTTTTCTTTAACCGAGCTTGCAGACCAAAAAATGTAGACAGGATGCTGTAATATAATCACAAGCACGGTGGAGATACTTCCATTGACTTGGCTCAGCAACTCAGTATACTCTCTGGGTGATTGATTATTGATTCTTAGTCATATCTCTAAGCAAAACATATAATAATCGCCATATGGGTTATTTACTAAAACTAGAGAGTGCAAAATCTGGTGCAGCTTTGCATAGAAACCAATCAGCTTGCAGGTTTTATTGTCAAAGCTTAATTGAACAAGATGAAGTTAGAAGTTGGTTGGCTACTATGCACAACTGAACCAGTGTACCAGTTTTAGTAACTCCACCCATAAGTAGGACCTATATCAACAGGCTTTGGGTTTGGGATGATGATATCCATTTAATATCGGATTGTGATTCTCCTGCGATCTTTCAGAATTCATTGACAAGTGCATTTAACCTGCAATTGATCACATTGTGGCCTTCATTTCATTGGTTCAAGTGGGTTTTGCATTCCCATAGATTTGTATAGGAATGCAAAACCTGTTTGAAGTGAACAAAAGCCCACTGACACAAGCCCTTACTTTGTTTTGTATGTTGTCTTTGTTCAAATGTAGACTATTTGTAGAATATTAAATGCAAAGATATATTCTGTATGATCAAATTCCTACTTAGTATCTCTTATTGCCTATTCATCCTCATCTTTTAGCTCTCCCCATATGTGTAAATGCAGATACAAATGATAAAAAAATTACACTTCCCATACACCTTGGATACTTTCTGTAGGGACAAGTGACTTCTCTGGGCTTCACTATGGGGTCCCTGGAAAGAGGTTCCCATGTCTTATAAGAAGACACTCTACAGTAGCACTGAGCAGTAGTGCCTTCTAACAAAATTTGGATCCTCAGCTTTCCCAGGATCTCCTTAACCTCCCTACCGGTCTGATTATGTCCATATTTCTGTGCTCAAAGCGGTACATTTTTTTTGCATGGAAATATGTAGTTTTTTTTTTTATTGTAGGCTTGTAATTTTTAGGAATAACTCACTGATATTTGTCCGAACAAGTCTAGTAAACATTCCGAGTATGTTAAAATTTGAAACACGAAATAATAAATTATAATTTATAAATAATCCTAAAAAATAATAATATAATAACAAATGTAATTCAATAATATAATCAAACCAAAAACACTGAAATTTGAAATAGAGCGCCAGTTCGCACATCACTGAGCAAAGTCGCAAAATCATTTTCAGTGTCTGATGACGAATTTCCCCCACAAATCATTATCACTCAATTCTGCAAGTAGTTCTAATGTACTATCGCTGTTCTCTAGCTGGTCTGAAACCGATTTTGACCTAAAGGGACGCTTTTTGGATGCCATGGACTTTTCTCAGTTTCAAGGCAGAAAGAACAGTAAAAATGCAGTGAATGTCACTTCTACAATTTTCAAATTTCCCGCCACTTCCGTCCCTGTATGTCCTTACGTTGCAGGGAACGGAACCCAGAAGACAGATGCCAGCATCCGTCGGAGAACATTGCCGGGGACACTGCAGGAGGGACATCGTGGGAGCTCAAGACAAGGTAAGTGAAGAAGAGATCCCGGAGCAGCGCTGCAGGGTATTCCCGAGTGTAGCTCGGGGTTACCGCTTGTGGTGCTGAAACTTTACCCCAAGCTACACTCGGAAATAACTCCAAGGAGGTTAAAAGTGACATCACCCTCATACAGATACAGCAAATGGTAAATACACTATATTGCCAAAAGTATTGGGACACCCCTCCAAATCATTGGATTCAGGTGTTCCAATCACCTCCATGGCCACAGGTGTAAAAATCAAGCACTTGCAGACTGCTTATACAAACATTTGTGAAAGAATGGGTTGCTCTCAGGAACTCAGTGAATTAAAGCGAGGCATCATGATAGGTTGCCATCTGTGCAATAAGTCCATCCGGGAAATTTCCTTGCTACTAAATATTCCACAGTCAACTGTCAGTGGTATTATAACAAAGCAGAGGCAACTGGGAAGAACAGAAACTCAGCCACGAAGTGGTAGGCCAATATAAAATGACAGAGCGGGGTGAGCGCATGCTGAAGCGCACAGTACGCAGAAGACGCCAACTGTCTGCAGAGTCAATAGCTAAAGACCTCCGAACTTGGTGTGGCCTTCAGATTAGCACAACAAAAGTGCGCAGAGAGCTTCATTGAATGGGCTTCCATGGCTGAGCAGCTCTATCCAAGCATTACATCACCAAGTGCAATGCAAAACATCGGGTACAGTGGTTTAAAGCACGTCGCCACTGGACTCTAGAGCAGCGGAGATGTGTTCTCTGGAGTGACCAATCATGCTTCTCTGTCTGGCAATCCGATGGGTGTGTCTGGGTTTGGCGGTTGCCAGGAGAATGGTACTTGCCTGACTGCATTGTGTCAAGTGTAAAGTTTAGTGGAGAGGGATTATGGTGTGGGGTTATTTTTTAGAAGTTGGGATTGGCCCCTTAGTTTCAGTGAAGGGAACTCTTAAGGCATCAGCATACCAAGACATGGATGAGCGAGTTTGGGGTGGAAGAACTTGACTGGCCTGCAGAGTCGTTGACCTCAATCCGATAGAAGACCTTTGGGATGAATTAGAGTAAAGACTGCGAGCCAGGCCTTCTCGTCTGACATCAGTGCCTGCCCTAACAAATGTGCTTCTGGAAGAATGGTCAAATATTCCCATAGACACACTCCTAAACCTTGTGGACAGCCTTCCCAGAAGAGTTGAAGCTGTTATAGCTGCAAAGTGTGTGGCAACTCAGTATTGAACCCTACGGACAAAGACTGGGATGCCCTTAAAGTTCATGTGCGTGTAAAGGCAGGCGTCCCAATACTTTTGGCAATATAGTGTATATTTTTAATTTTTCTCCTATTCTTTGTTTTCTTCTTGTATTTAAGTCTATATTTTTATATGGGGGTGTGATTTCATGCAAGATCCACTTTAGCCTTCTGCCGCCGGCCACACGCACATATGCAGCCTCCCGGCGGGTGGGTTTTAACACCGAGCAGCTGCATATATGTGTCTAAATGTAAACAATTTACTATGCTGAAAGCACACTCCCTACACGCTCCCAGCACAGTAACTAAACTGTCACAGATAGCTCCAGATGCATATTTGTGATTGGAAACTTTCGATCATGTGACTGCAACAGCCATTCACAGTGGTCACATGATCGGAATGCCCGTCTCCTGACATTTTGATTCACTTAAAGGGCTGGGAGTCGGCAGCGGCAAGGGGTTAAATCCCAAACCAGCCCAAACCTTCTTTTCTTTTACTTTCAACAAAGAAAAATAAGTTGGAATTTCTGTGAAGTTAATAATACTGCCTGAGTGGCCAAGCAGTTAAAAATCATCAGTTAGCTTTTTATTTAAATAGCATGAGCAAGCATTCAAAGGCAATATCTTCATTAACATGCACTTGCAAATGTACTAGTAAATACTGTATATACCAGCTTCCAATGAAGTATGAAAACTACAGAACAGTGTGTGTTTTAACCCTTTTGTTCCTTTCTACCCTGTATATCTAATCTCTCCATATATGACCTGTATATTAACCCTTTCACCTTCCTTATCCTGCACATCTATACATTAACCTACTAATATCCATCCTTCCATTGTATGTGACCTGTACTTAAGCCTCTTCACCTTCTCCCCCTCAGTGTGTGGCCTGTACATTTGTAGCACCCTCCTAGTTTAGCTAGGGGGAGCTAGACCCTAATGGTTAGTGAGGAGCTGGTTAGCATCTCAGCTGAGATTGCCAGAGGGGTCAAATTCTGGTCAGAACTGAGAAATTCTGCAGGCCAGCCCCTCTGGAATTTTCCGCTGCTCTGAGACTTTCGGAGGAGGGTCTTGAAGGCAGTGGGTGGTGTGGCAAACTTGCTCATCAGAATTGGAGCGGAGTTCCCCCTCAACCCTCGTTTCCGTGTTCTGTCTGTGTATTTGAGGTCTTCCTGGAATCCTCACATCCCCCCTGCATTCCTGTGAGGCAGACTGTGAGGCAAATCTCCTGGCAAATGGTGTGGAACAACCTAAGACATGAGAAGTGGAGCCGGCCAGTCTGCAAAGGTGTCATTTTTATCACCCAAAACTATGTAAGCCCACTCATTATCAAACCAACCAGAATAAGTGCACAGTCCTGAGGTCAACTGTATGGTTCATATCACGGGATATGAGCTAGTAATTTAGTGTAGAGTTTCCCAATGACCACTCCCAAGTCAGAGCCCCCCTCCCCTTTTGAGAGGGACCTTTTAAGAGAGTAAGTGAGTTAGACACACAGACTCAGGGATCTCCCAGCAACATCGTAACAAGGGGGGATCAAAGAACCTTTCTGCTCTGCATCTTGAATTTGCTAAAACCAGGCAAGGCAAGTAACTTACCCTGTAATTTCCTCGCTATTCTATGTTTGCTGTGTCTTTATATACATATATATATATTTTTGTGACATCTTTGTAACTATTTATTTTGCATCCAACGCTTTTAGCAATAAATCTTTTTTTCTGAAAGTGTTAAACTGTTTCTAAGCGCTTACTTGCAATTCACGAATCCCTGCCTTTGAAGAGACACTACTGTGGTTATATTTCTGTATAGTAGGTCCGCAGGCCTTGCTATATAGATCAATATTTCAATCATTATAGTGTATATTTGATAACGGGAGTTTCCCAGTCTCCGACAAAAGTGGTGGTGGCAGTAGAGGGTTAGTTGCGTAACTAACCCGACCCAGTAACAAGCGCATTCAGGCTGTAGGCACCGATTGTAGTCCATTAGCTGGGCAATCGCTGTGTAGGGTGCAGCTGGGTGGGGCCT